TTAATCATATTTAATCAGCTTACAGCAGATGTTTGCTATATTAATGTTCCTGTTATGCAATTTATAGATAATCATCAAATCATTTCAACAGAGATGAAACCATAACCCCATGTTTTCATTAAAACGATTAGAGGATCATGTTTGATTTGATTTATTGACTTATTTCCTTTTTGGACCCAGCCCCCCCCCATATCAGTTTTCCATATGGAGGTGTAATCCCTCCTCTCTCCATCAGAGTGCAGTATCATGTTTTACCCTTTACTCCACATTAACTCTGCCTTCCTCCATGAGTTCTCAGTTTTTGATTCTTCTAAAACTGCTCAGATGAGGCACCAAAGCCCTTCTGAACCGTCTAAACAAGTGTGACCCATATCTATTATGGGATGGTTGATGGAGGGGGGTGCTCCCCTCAGACGGGGAGGAAATTACCTTTAATTGCACCTGATTTAATCCAGTTCACTCCTGATTAGGGTTGAGGGGCTCATTGGTATCCTGCTTGTTTTAAATGGCCTCAGCTTTTAAATAAACCCCCCCCCAAAGAAAGGACAGAACCAGGGTGGGGGTTCTAATGGACCGAACATGGTGGATCTAAGGAAAGAAGGCAGGGCGGTCTGAGCTCAACTGCAGTTAAAGGAAAAACAACGAAAGCAACTCATTAGCGAGGGGGATTAGTAATTCATCCACACGTAGGGTTACATTTTGTACCAGTGAGGGGAGGCTGGTTGGTTTTATGGCTCCGTTTAAAATATTTACCACTGGGGTTTTAGAGAGGAGAGTAATTAAAGTCACTGAGTGTCTAATTACTTTCCATGGACAGATTTATTTCCCAACCAGAGGTGGTCACTGTCGGCGTCAGGGTCCCTCTGCATGTTTAGCTCCTGAAGAACGCCTGCTTTCAAAGAACACCAGGAACGGAGAAATAGGATAAAGACATTCTAAAAAAGTAAAAAAATAATAATAATAATTCACTGGACTTACAGGAATATATGAACAGGCGACATATTCTGTTCCCCTGTAAAAGGGTTGAGGTTACAGCGGAGCAGAAGACCTCCCCTATTCACCCAGGCCAACTATTCCCCCTTTCAGAGAGATGGACAGGTATGGGGCATCGCAGGCTAACAAAAGTTGATGGATGAAACCTCCAACAGTCGGTTCCTTCTCTTACAGTTCTGAGCATCCATAAGCGTCCCGTTCTGGATCACACCGACTTCAACTTCCCCATGAAGGGCTGGAGGGGAATGGTGGACTGGGCCCCTTCGTCCGTTTCTATTTGCATGTTTTCTAAATCTAAACTCTAAAAGTCTAAATCAAGGCTTTGTTGGGCTAATGTATAAAACCTGGAACTCAACATTATTTCTGACATTTTGAATTGAAAAAGCTTCCTGGGTGGAAGAGAAACGTCTCTAAACGTGGAAAACAAAGTCCAGTGGATTGATTTTTAACATTTTTGGAATGACTTTGACCTGGATGACTTACAATCTTCACCAGCAAGATAAAGAAATGCTTCGCCTGACTAAAGTCTGCTGTAAACATTCCATTTTATCTTCCGTTGAAACTCGCTTCACATTTGGTTAATTTATCTTTATTGAGGCTGCGCTACAGAGCGAGACAGGCCGCTTAGTTTGGTTCAACTCTGGTTGTTCTGTTTCTTAAAGCCGTTTTTTCCGCTCAATCAATATCATGATTTATCCCCAGATTAGAGGTCAGGACCCCAGTAGAACTGCAACTGGACCAATGAATCCTCTGAATGAAAAGAGGCGGACGGAGGAGCCTGAAGGTCTCCCACCTCAACTATGTTTTCATCTCTGAGTCCCGCGCTGAAATCTCAGCTCACCTGGAAACCTTCCAGGCAGACTTAAAATCTGATACAGAAATCCTAACGGCCCCCATTGACCGCTATGGTGTCCATCCATCCATCCATCCATCCATCCATCCATCCATCCATCCATCCATCCATCCATCCATCCATCCATCCATCCATCCATCCATCCATTTTCTAACACACTTAATCCCAAGTGGGGTCACTAGGGGAACCAATCAATTCAAGACTCATTGACTCTTCAGCAGGGATGGGAAGTAACGAAGTACAAATACTTTGTTACTGTACTCAAGTAGATTTTTCTGATATTTTTACTTTACTTTACTACTTTTTTTATGGCGACTTTTTACTTCTACTCCTTACATTTTTACACAAATATCTGTTCTTTCTACTCCTTACATTTTAAAAAATTGGCTCGTTACTTTAGTTTGAATCATTTCAATGGAGTTACCGTTATTATTTTTCACGTCATCAATACCAAATTCAATCTAATTGGATGGGAATCTACGTTGCATTTGACGCACCGCTACAAGATGAATCGACAGATTCGGCGGTATTCATTGGCGGCAAATCATTGCAGCTTGGTGGCGGTGGCGTTAGCATAGTAGCATGGACGACGAGATGATTGAAAATGAACACAACGGAGATCTAGTCCTATTGGCAGACATCCATTTAAAATGTAGGCAACGGCATGAAAAAAGTGGTTTCTACTTTTACTTTTATACTTTAAGTAAATTTACAAGCCTGTACTTTGTTACTTTTACTTGAGTAAAGAAGTTTAATCAGTACTTCCACTTTTACCAGAGTATTTTTTAACACAAGTATCTGTACTTTTACTCAAGTACAGAAAGTGAGTACTTTGCCATCTCTGCTCTTCAGCAATCCCTCACACTAAGCATGCTTGTAGCAACAGTGGAGAGGAAAAACTCCCTTTGAACAGGAAGAAACCTCCAGCAGAACCAGGCTCAGTGTGAGCGGCCATCTGCTGAGGCCCACTGGGGTTCAAGGAGACAGAAGCAGACATAGAAAAAGAAGCATAGATACAAAAGGCAACTGTCAACCAGCTCCACAGGCGGCCCTGTCCAGGAAACACACAGCCAGGCAGACGAGCTCCGAGCCAGCTCCCATGTTAGAGGATGAAGAGAATTAAAGGAGGGGAACCATATATTTCAGCTTACTGAAATAATCGTTTGTTGGTTGTTGAGAGGAATAAACACAGTTAAAGACCCGCAGGTGATTTAATTTCTTTCCATGTTATGGAGGGGGACAGATTATTTCAGGCAGCTGAATCATCCATTCTCGCCTCTCCTCCTCCCATATCTTTGGGAAATAAAGAGCAACTGTTTCCAATTTCTCTAAAATTGATGTGTGATATGTTATACTAGAAATGTCCTTAATCCAGTAATATTTCAAATTTTACATTAGAAGGGGATTAACCAGAAATTCTAATGTGTGTTCCCTGCTATCAGCCAGTTTCCATCCTCTTATATCAGCAATGAAAAGTTAAAACTACACTACGTGTTGGAAATCTGTTTGGTGACTGACGTTTATTTCTGTCAGGCTGAAGGGACGGAAGTTGGAGAAACACCGATTCTCTTGGCGTTTAAAAAAACAACACAAAACAGCTTAAGAAGACCTTGTTAATTTATTTATGTTACAAATTTGTAAAAAGAGCAACCGATTAAACGGAATGTTACAAAGTTGACATGATTATATGAGCTGTTTTCACTGAAAAATGATCAGGAGCGCCTTGGAAATGGTCAGATCCGCCTCTCTGGCTGCAATGAGCGCTCCCGACACAGGGGGAACAGATTTTCACAGGGAAACAGAATTTCGTACAACACCGGCATCATTCAGTTTGCTTTTCAGAGACCTCAAGCTGATGTGTACACCATGTAAACATGACATCAGGATTACAGCGTACGAGTCCAAATCATTAAAATAATGTATGCACTGCTGCAGCATATCTGGTTCTTCCGTCTGTTCTGTACCATTTAAAAACTGAAGTGTTTCAGATTTTGTATTGTTGGTTTGCACTTCCAGGCCACCGTACATTTCCCTCCATGGTTACATGTTTTAAATCGACACATTCAATTCAGTTTAATTAAGCTTATCTCCATGGCTCCAATTCACATCAAAGTCAGCTCAGGTCACTTTAGGCCGGGCATACGCTGGGTGATTTTTTTCAATTGTCACACGCAGCTACAGCTCACACTGTCCACGAAACTGCATGATGTTTGTTCTCACACTGTGCGACCCGACGCCAGGTGGGACTCCGCTCCGCAGTGAGATGGCGCTACTCGGACTCGTCTATCCAGAAGCCAAACGACTAGAAGAGGAACATGAAGCTCACTAGAGTGAAACGCGCTGCCTTGGATATTTGGGCAATTTAGTGCTGAAAGCCCTAAAAAGAAAAGGAGACGACGTATTTGGACAAAGACATGGCTGAGCTAACGTGGCTACTACGGTCTGTCAGTTTGACAGAAAGAACTCCATTTCACTCATTGCCCCCCCGCCATGATGAGAGAAAGAAGAAGAAGAAGAATCCTTGTTTGCCACGACCACCTTATGACGGCCGACTGAATTTAAAACATGTTTGATTTTCTCCCGACCTTAAGATTCCTGATGGGGAGGTGGTCGCCCCTCGTTACCCCCTCATTACCCCCTGTTCACTACACCATGCACCATCAGGATGAAAGTCAACCTGATTGGAGAATACTTGCAAGACAGGAAATTTGTCCCGAAAAGGGCAAAAAAATCATACAGTTTATTCCCGGCTTTATAGACGTAATTCAACTAGATCATCCAGTCAGATTGGTTCAATGTTTTCTATCTAAGGGAAACCAGCTGATTAAATGTATTATCTCGTCTGTGAGCAGGAATGAAACCTTTAGACGGGATCAGAAATAAAAACAGTTTTTGTTGCAGCTGCTGAACAGCGGGGAACGTAGGATCCTGCTCTTCTCCTGCATCTTCTGTTTGCAACATTAAACCCCAGCGTGTCTGTGTGCTGATCTAAGCAGGGGGCGCTGCTCTGCAGATTAATGGCTGTAAACACTGTTTCAGAAACTATCTAACGGGGTCTGATGAACACACACAAACACACGTTTCAGTTCTCAGACGCTGGTGGCACTGGTCTGGAACCAGTCTCTGAGTAGACTGGATGTTTGGGAGCTCCTACCTGCCGTTCCTGTGGACAGGATGTTCTTGGGGATGCTGACTCGGTCCTCAGAGTTGCGGGCCCAGTCCACCATCCCCCTCCAGCCCTTCATGGGGAAGTTGAAGTCGGTGTGATCCAGAACGGGACGCTTATGGATGCTCAGAACTGTAAGAGAAGGAACCGAGTGTTGGAGGCATTTGCAGTTAAAAGAGGGTTTCACCTTGGAGAGAAATAAGAGCTGCTGTTCCTCTTCCTGCCACAGAACCAGGTGAAAATAATTATTTTACTCATCATAGAAGTGACACATTTAATCTAGAGCATATTATTAGACACCAGCAAAACATTTGCTCAGTAGATGGACGTCTGAGAAGCGGCTGCAGCAGATGAGGAATCAGAAAACCTTTTTTAAATTGGGATGAGCAGCAGCTTCCCTGCATGCTGGATTTTAAACGTTATTTCTTCTCTGCTTCAGCTGTTTCTAAAGAAGTCACACTAACCCCTCCTCAGAGAGAGGACAGGCTGTGGGGGGGACAGGAAGCCACCATCAGTCAGATCTCCTACAGGCTGGATTCCTCAGTGAGATAAAAACCAGCAGCAATAAAACCACAAACATCATGAAAATGATCTCAGATTTATTGACTTTCAGCATCTAGTTTATCTGGTCATCCACCTTCAGTTAGAGTTCAATCTGAATCCTGGACTGACTTTGAGGCTCACACAGAGCGGAACTTTCTGAAGGACTAATATTAACAATCTCTGCTTTTTCCTTCCCTATCTGCTCATCTCCTTTAGCCAAAGCTAACAGAGGTTGAGCGCAGCTAACTGTATTCAGAGCGTTTTGAGTCGGGGTTTTTTTCCTCTCTTCCACTGCTCCTGAGTCCCGCCTCTCGGTCTGACATCATCAGATCTTTGCTTTGAGACATAATATTATTGGGGTCACATTTCACTGACGTACAGAGTAGCTAAATGGTTGGAGGAGACACACAGCAGCACTCAGTGAATATTAACCAGCAGCTACCTGGAGCGCCCCCATCCTTAGAGCGCCTCCACCCTTAGAGCGCCTCCACCCTTAGAGCGCCTCCATCCTTAGAGCGCCCCCATCCTTAGAGCGCCCCCATCCTTAGAGCGCCCCCATCCTTAGAGCGCCTCCACCCTTAGAGCGCCTCCACCCTTAGAGCGCCTCCACCCTTAGAGCACGTCCATCCTTAGAGCGCCTCCACCCTTAGAGCGCCTCCACCCTTAGAGCGCCTCCACCCTTAGAGCGCCTCCACCCTTAGAGCGCCTCCACCCTTAGAGCGCCTCCACCCTTAGAGCACGTCCATCCTTAGAGCGCCTCCACCCTTAGAGCGCCTCCACCCTTAGAGCGCCTCCACCCTTAGAGCACGTCCATCCTTAGAGCGCCCCCATCCTTAGAGCGCCTCCACCCTTAGAGCGCCTCCACCCTTAGAGCGCCTCCACCCTTAGAGCGCCTCCACCCTTAGAGCGCCCCCATCCTTAGAGCGCCTCCACCCTTAGAGCGCCTCCACCCTTAGAGCGCCTCCACCCTTAGAGCACGTCCATCCTTAGAGCGCCTCCACCCTTAGAGCGCCTCCACCCTTAGAGCGCCTCCACCCTTAGAGCACGTCCATCCTTAGAGCGCCCCCATCCTTAGAGCGCCTCCACCCTTAGAGCGCCTCCACCCTTAGAGCGCCTCCACCCTTAGAGCGCCTCCACCCTTAGAGCACGTCCATCCTTAGAGCGCCTCCACCCTTAGAGCGCCTCCACCCTTAGAGCGCCTCCACCCTTAGAGCACGTCCACCCTTAGAGCGCCTCTCCACCCTTAGAGCGCCTCCACCCTTAGAGCGCCTCCACCCTTAGAGCGCCTCCACCCTTAGAGCACGTCCACCCTTAGAGCACGTCCACCCTTAGAGCGCCTCCACCCTTAGAGCGCCTCCACCCTTAGAGCGCCTCCACCCTTAGAGCGCCTCCACCCTTAGAGCGCCTCCACCCTTAGAGCGCCTCCACCCTTAGAGCGCCTCCACCCTTAGAGTGCCTCCACCCTTAGAGCGCCTCCACCCTTAGAGCACATCCACCCTTAGAGCGCCTCCACCCTTAGAGCGCCTCCACCCTTAGAGCGCCTCCACCCTTAGAGCGCCTCCACCCTTAGAGCACATCCACCCTTAGAGCGCCTCCACCCTTAGAGCGCCTCCACCCTTAGAGCACATCCACCCTTAGAGCGCCTCCACCCTTAGAGCGCCTCCACCCTTACAGCGCCTCCACCCTTAGAGCGCCTCCACCCTTAGAGCGCCTCCACCCTTAGAGCACATCCACCCTTAGAGCGCCTCCACCCTTAAAGCGCCTCCACCCTTAAAGCGCCTCCACCCTTAGAGCACATCCACCCTTAGAGCGCCTCCACCCTTAGAGCGCCTCCACCCTTAGAGCGCCTCCACCCTTAGAGCGCCTCCACCCTTAGAGCGCCTCCACCCTTAGAGCACATCCACCCTTAGAGCGCCTCCACCCTTAGAGCGCCTCCACCCTTAGAGCGCCTCCACCCTTAGAGCGCCTCCACCCTTAGAGCGCCTCCACCCTTAGAGCGCCTCCACCCTTAGAGCACATCCACCCTTAGAGCGCCTCCACCCTTAGAGCGCCTCCACCCTTACAGCGCCTCCACCCTTACAGCGCCTCCACCCTTAGAGCACGTCCACCCTTAGAGCGCCTCCACCCTTAGAGCGCCTCCACCCTTACAGCGCCTCCACCCTTAGAGCATGTCCACCCTTAGAGCACCCCCACCCTAAGAGCACCAACTTTCCTCACTCAGTTACAGCCTTGGGCTCACAGGATTTAGAGGAATTCAGGCAGAGGTATCTCACCCAAATCTCCGCTCAGTGGAGGTTCTAATAATCTGCTCTTTAAAGCTTCAGCTTCAAAGCTGAAAGTTATTTTTAATTATTATTAGGATTCAGTTTCTCCATTTTGTTGGTTTTTGTATGTGGTGCTGTTATAGTTAGTAAACTATAGAAAAAATCCCTTATTTCAGTAACTTCTCTAAGTGAAGAAATGTCTTCAGGACTTTATGTCATTTAGGAACATTTTTTACTACCGTAATAAAAACACAACATTTAAAGTTAAAATATGACATCAGGCCTATAAAAACACACTATAGTATTTACAGAAATAATGATCTTATTGAAAAGCACATTTACTTCCTGTTTAAATGGTTGAAAGTTAATCAGACTAACAGGCCTGATTGGGCCAGAAGCTGAACTGTGCGGCAGGTCAGCTGCATTGCTGCCTACAAACATCAGCTTTTCTTCAAGGTTCTGCTGGGATGTAAGAACCATCAGACTGATTGTTCAGGACTGGAGCTTTTTAAAGGAAAAGTCCGGTCATATTCAGAATTCAAATTCATTAAATCACTGTGAACATTTTAGTTTTAGTTATAAATAGTGATCCATTGATTATTTCCTGCTGACCGGACTTTAAAGCCTGAATAAAACCAGCAGAAGTTCATCCAGATGTGTTATAAAAACATGAAAAATTTGGCTTAAATCAGGAAGACTGAGACTGCTGCTAAATCAACCGGCTGTGGGATGCGTCCTGGAACAGTTCTGCATATCTGGTCCTGTGCTTCAACATGGAGTCGTACCAACATGGAGTCGTACCAATATGTTCCAGAACCTGACACGCTGCTTCCAACTGTCCTCTGGTTCCCTGCAGGTTAGAAGATCCACTACGATAAGAAGGTATCCATTTATTTCTAAAATTATTCCAGAGAAAGTGATCAGGGTTGGATTAATGAAAAGCTCTGCTTGAGCCACAGCCCCTCCAAAATAAAAGCCCATCAAAGGGTTCCGGTGAGTCCAAAGGAGACACCTAAGGTCTGACAGACTTCCTCTGTCGGTGGCGTTAAGCTACACCCATCCTGTCTCTTTAGTGTCCAGGTAAGAAAGGAAAGATGCTGAATGTTCATGCAAGAATACAATGAAATGATTTTCTGAAATCTTGAAGTTTAGTGACTCATCATCCTCCAAAGCATCTGTTTGGCTCCTCGTCGATACGTGGAGCTAAAGAAATGAGAATAAATAGGTCTTTAATTTCCTTCTGAAAGTAGGGAACTGAGCGCAGGATTTCAGACAATTGAAAAGGAGAAATAAACCTGCAAACATCTAATCCCACCAGATATAATCTTTAAAGGACCACAAAACCACATGAGAGGTCCAGCTTCAGCCGCTGTCCCCAAACTCATCTTAGGGGGGCTGCTGTTGCCTAGCAACAGTGACAGCGTGAATCCCAGAGCCGGAGATACGGAGATCATCTGTTTTCTTTTTTCATCACATCTTAGAAGCTAGAGTTCAGTTCTGACCAGATGTGTCCAGAGTATTAATGTTTATTCCTCCAGTATAAATCCTACAGTTTAAAAACACGTTTGTAGAAGTTAGAGGATCAATTTTAGCTTTTTACTCCAGTAAAAGTGTAAAAGTACAATTTTTTAAACTACTTAAAGTATAAAAAGTAAAAGTAATGTAGGAAAAACTGTGAAGGCCAGAAGCTTTCCTGCTCTACTCTATTAAAGGAACATTTCTCTACAATTCTAGATGATAATTTCCTTAGACTGTATTGTCTTAGTTTTATAACTAATGGTAACAGAGTCACATTTAACTTTGCATCATCTAGAAAAACAGTTTATTTTGGTTTGTGGTGAGCAACAAGTTGGGGTCCAACCACAAAGAAATTAAATGTCTGGATGAAACTAATTATTTTGATGTTTTTTATTTTTTTTAAATACCAACAGTTCACAATGACTAACGGGTCTATTTTAAAAATGTAAGGAGTAAAAGAAAAACAAATTACTCCAGTAAAGTATACATAGCCAGCATTTCTACCTAAGTATTTGTACTTTGTTAGTTGACGCCTCTCCTGCTTACATTATCTTTAGTGACTGTCGACAGGAAACAAATGAGTGAAACATAGCGATTGAATGTGTATAAAGATAATATCTATAAATAATTATTATTCAGAAATGTCATGATCTACCCTAATTGCTCCACCATTTCTTTCACCTGCCGTTTTCCCTCCCTGCTGTAATTATCATTTATTCCTCTCAACTGTTTCCTTTGCTTTAAATTCTGTTGAGCCTGAGCATTCAGGGCCAGATCATTAGATTTTGTTTTTTCTGTTCATTTGAT